TGACGGACACGTGGCCTCGGGCAACGAGTCAGGGTTTCCTAAAATTTTCAAAAATAAAATATTTAGATGGCGACTCTGTATCTGGCAAAGTAGTCCATGTTGGCACTTCTTTCAAAAAAATCTGTTTCAAAAAACAATTTGCCGATTTGACTCTTGATGATTCATCGGTCTTGCATTGCACTCCGCGAGATTAGATACAGGACCATGACACAAATTGAGTTCCGAACTGTAGTGAGGCCCAAGGGCGTGTCTCAATCCCCACAGTAAGTATGTCAAAGGTCACTAACATCACCGAATTGACCATAGTCCATGATCTATTTGACATTGGCCCAAAAATATTTTACTTATCTGCTCTTCACAATCTAATTGGACTGCATAAAAAAATGATGATTTTCCACAATTTTCTTACAAAAGTAATACAACACACTACCCGTTTCTCCATCTTCTAAATCTTTTTGTCTCTTTGATCTTAGTAATTTTTTTTGTCCAATTTCGTGAAGCAAGTGATGTTCTTCACCAGTTCCTTACCAAATAGCTCATAAGCAGACCTAAGAGGAATTCCAATTCTGAAGCCAATTCTACTTCAATTGCTTGGGTGGTAGATATTTTTCTTTGGATGGCAACATATGAATGCAATCTTGAGGCACAAGGTCATGATTATGATGTTCAAACAAAATCACAAGCAATATATTTTCTTGAAATTTTATCTAACTTGTTACTAAGTCAGGCACCAACAACCATATCTTACCTCTTGTCTCGGATTTTTGACCAATGGATTCGTTTGTCATATCTGACTTCCCTCTTTTTACATACAAACGTCCGTGAAGTTTCTCCTTCTGTGTTTGTTCTTGTTTGCGTAGGCCTTCTTAATACCGAAGCTCACCTTTCCCTCATAGGTATTGTAAAAGTCATCGTAGCTTGTTCAAATTCAAATGACATTTCCTAATTTCGGCTTTCAACCACAATTGGCTACTCTTCAATAATATTATTTTTTTCCATTACCTGCAATTCAGTATCATAACAAATAACAAGTTTTACCCATCCCTGTTCTTGATATTTTTTTTCTACAATAACAAGGTCTTTATAATAATTTCAGTATCACACATATAACAAGGTTTAACCTTGTTGGTTGGAATAATCAATTTCTTCTCATATCAACAATACTATATGTGCTTCATCCTTGCTATGCTACCACATAATACCAACTCAATTTCTCTGTTCTTGCTATTTTTACACATCTCTCTCATATATATAACAACAAGGTTTAACCACATTTATACCGAATTGCAGGTCTGGGGTAAATTGCACAAATCTGATCATATATATATAATGGAAGAAAATCATATTTGAATCCCCAAAAAAAAATATATGCAAATAAATGTGATTCACTATCAAAGAGGCCTATTTAATTTATATATGAATCCCAAAAATCTGAATCAATATATATATATATAGAAATAATAAATTTTGACTATAACAGATCAATCATCAAACCAAGAATCAAACCCATATTCAAAAATCAATAACAAATCTAACCCAAGAACATATATATTATATAGTATATATAACAGCAAGAAATGACAAATGTGATGAAATAGGCATCGTCGCTGCGTAATCTCGCCTCTCCTGTCCCATCGTCGCCGGACCTCAATAGTCGCCCACCATCCTTTGCGTTGCTCCTTTGCCATCGCGTTGCTCCTCCATCTCTGCCCATCTCTTTGTGTCTCAGTTCGTTTCTCTCCCCGTTCGCATTCGTTTCCTCCGTTTTTCTTTCAGTTCCTCAACTTCGACTTTAGTCGCCTCTTCTCTCTGT